CCTAGCTCAACCCACCTATTCCTCTTGTCCTATACGGGTTCATAAAGCCACGATTTCTTTCCCTTCCTCCTTCCACCAAAACACAAACATATACCCACCTACCCGCCCACCCCGCGTACCTTGAAACCTTCTAGAACCCTCTAAAACCGCCTAAAACTCGTTAAAACCCTCTAAACCCCCCCTAAAACCCACCTTGAGGAGGTCCATGGTATCTTCCGCCATGCGACCCTTGCTGGGCAGACCCATGCGCAAAGAGGTTCGGGCACTCTGCTTGTGCAGCTTAGCCGCCTCAGCTGCGAAACAACATTTCGGAGCGCGGGGGGAAGGGAGGGGGAAGAGAAGGTTCAGGGATTACTTCGCGGGAAGAAAGGTTTTTGTTGGCTTGGGATTGGAGTGCAGTTTCATAAAGGTGGGTTTTTGCCAGCCAAGCGGACTGGGCTGGGCTGGGCTTGGTTCGGAGTGCCGTATACGGAGCGGAGCTGGAAGGGGAATAGTCATCATAGCCAAGAAGCAAAAACGAGGGCAGAATGCAAACTTGCATGGTGTTATCTCTTTTTCGCTTTTCCTCTTTTTCTCTCTCTCTCCCTCCCTCTCCCTCCCTCCCTCCCTCTCTCCCCCCCTCCTCCCTCTCTCTCTCACACACACATACACACACACGCAGGCCGTGCAGGGGGGACCCCTCTTGGCTGAGGCCTGCTACTCAGGGGTCAGGTCCAGAGACCTCACCCTGAAAGGCTCCCGCGGTCGTAACCGAGTACCCGCCCGCCTGCTGCTTGGCTGCATGGCCTGGCCTTGCTCGTATCATATCGTATCTTGGCGCAGCTCGGCCATGTGCCCATCTCCTTCCCCCCTGTCCTCCTCAGCGCATTTCCCCCTCCTTCCAGGAAATCACCACTACACCAGGAGTACCTATCAGCACGGTGGCTCCGAGTCTAACTCTTTAGGCCAAGATATTTTCCAAGATATCATTTACGCTCCGCCTTTCTAGGAATTGGCCCCCCAGACTAGCGCCGTACCGGGCGGAATTCTAGGACGACCCAAATACATCCAGGTGAGCTAACGTGTGCATGATTTTGGGTTGGATCTGGATTCGATTTCGATGTTGACTTTGGTGGGGTTAGGTTCACACTTGTGGCAGGGAGTTTTGATCTTAGCGTCTTTCATCCTTGCATTGGAGCAAGGACCGCGGACACCTGCTCGCCCAGCCTCCCCTCCAACTTCCCGTGATCCCCGTTCAGCGGTTCCAGTACGCGACCGCAGGGGCAGCTGTGCAAGGCAGCTGTGCAGCCGTCATGCGAAGCAGAACCCCGGCACATGGAGACACACACACACACACCCCACGCACGCACGCCACACACACACACACACACAAACACCCTACGCACGCACACACACGCCACACACACACACATACGCACAACCACGCACCACACAACGAATGCAACAAGGTACGCGCCCCAAATGAGGACCACAGGTCCTTCACATGCGCAGGGCCCGCGAGACCCAGTTGAGACATGGTTGACACACCGCCGCTGCGCTGCTGCTGCTGCTGCGCGGCGGCTACTGCTGCTGCTACTGCTGTTGGGTGTAGGTACACCCAACCACACCCTTGCGCTCTCGCCAGGCGAGGCCTTCCCTCCCATAAACACACACACACACGACGTGACAAGGTACACAACCACGTAAGGAGACGCACGGGGCCATCCTTGACACCCTAGCCAGCTTGGGAGTTACGAGGAGCTTCTGGGTGGGTAATGACCGGAGCCCAGTTTGTGGCAGAGCAAGGTGGTGATGATGATGGTGAAGGATGGATGAATAGCGCGGGTTTCTGTTGCGTAAAGTTGCTGTGCCCGATTAATGGCCGTTGCCGGTCCGTGTTCCTTTTCATTTCGTTCGAATAATTGGAATTTAAAACAGAAGTTAGGAAAATTGAATTTTGCGGGGAGGAGGAAACGAGGGGTAAAGTGGACAAGCCTGAGCGAAGGGGTTTTTGCGCAGACGGTGGCAGTAGCCTCGGGCCGGCAAGCGCGGTTTGCGGAAGCGGTACGAGGGCGTCTTTGCAGCAAGCGGCCATTAGTATAGGAAAAGGGTCTTTCACAGAAGAGACGAGTCAATGAATTTTGACTGTCTTGGCGCCCTCAGTGTGCATTTTCGACAGACCCAATTCATCAGATGATTGACCCCGGCTCGGATGCGGTTATAAGGCACCACAGTTACTAAGCGCCTTGCCTTATGCCCAAGGGGCGAAAGAGTACAAGGCGCAATCATCGCGTCTTGGTGGAAGTTATGTCCCAAATCAAGGCCGCCGCCGACCGGTCGCCTTTCCCGAGCATCACATTACAAGACCGCACTCACCACCAAGCGCATTGGAAGCCTCGTCGTCCATGCTGTTCATCAAGAGCTTCCCTCCAAGCACGTCGTCCTCGGGCCTCCGGGTCAAGCTGGCTGTCACGACCAGCTGGCGAGGGCTGCGAGCGGCATGGCCACGAGCGACCGCCGGCGCCGCCGAAAGCGCCCGGCTATGAGACGATGTAGCATAGCTAATCTGACGACCCTGAACAACCTGCATTTGTGAAATCTGCGGTTGACCTCTAGAGGCAAAGTCGCTTGCTTGCAAGAGTTTGCTGGGAAATGGTGTATGAAGAAGATGTCTTCAGAGGAGGTGTGAAACGTTAGTTGCCTATGGAAAAGGAAGGAATCGTTTAGCGCCGTGCTGCAGTATAATGCTCACAAAAGCCGTATCAACGGAATCCGCTTAAATTTAACTATGGTATTCAACGAGCTCGATAGGATGTAAATTTATAGCGGTAGCTTCATGCCGTAGCCATTGGCATTCCGTTAGTTGTCCCGGTCGGCTTTGGGAAACCCTGGTGTTCTTGCAGTTTTAGGTGATACGAGAAAAGGGGGTGCTTCATCTGTTTTAGCTTATTGATACTGGTCAGATTTTGAGGGTTTTGAGCAAACTGCTGTTCGCGCATCTTGACAGGACAAGGCTGTGACGGTTTGATTCACTCCGTCAGCAAACCTTTTCATGCTGTCACTCTGGATGGTATGGTTGCATAATATGCGTGAGGCAGGCGACTTCTTTTTGAGCTGGTTGTCTTCAGCGGCGCTTTAGCCGCCGCCGTCTGGAATCTGCCTGGGGCACCACCTCCTCGCATATTACCCTTCAGAACGCGTTATCCCCTGCCTGCCGCCGCCTCGAGCTTGTTCATCGGAGACCGACGGTGGTTGGGGTCCACCCGAGGCAATTCGAGAGAACAAAATCCCTCCCGCTCCTATATTCCTTGTCTTAAAATTGCTGACATCTGCTCTGCCTCTAGCCGTTCTGGGGCGTCAGCTTCGGATAATAAAAGTTGGGCACTCGGCGATTGCGCGCCATGGACTTCATCGCGAAGGACGTGGACGTGGGTTGCAGTGGCAAACAGCATGAGGCACCTCCTGATGCTGGCACGCAGCACGTAACAGCAGCTTCGGCTTTTCTCGACGAGGACCCAACCGACAACCGTCCATGGCTTCTCTTCGACCTGAACGGTGCGAAAGCCGTCAGAAATCGAGGCTGGCGGCCTTTAACGGCCCATCATACGATCTGGGTCAGGGCGGAATCCGTGCTCCTGCAACGGCGCGGTGCTATAGTTAGGGACATCTCAACGCTCTTATGCTCCAGGGTGGTAGGGTTTTAACCTACCCGGATGCCCATTCCAAAGCTCTCACCATGTTCTTCCCGTATTCCTGGCCTGGCTCCCTTCTGCTCGTTCACTTTCGTACGCACTTTCGTACCCTGCCCTCCACCGCCTACTTGTACTTCCTCCCCATAACCTCATCACCCGCCAAATTACATTGCAGGTGTGCTTGTAGAGGAATCGAAAAACTCGGGGCGCCGTCGGGAGAATCGGAAAAAGGAACGCGAGCAGCAGCAGCAGTTGCAGCCACAGCACCAGCCACAGCAGCAGCAGCAGCAGCAGCAAGAAGACGAGGCGGAGGAGCGTACAGGTTTCTTTGCCCGGCGGCAAAACTTTGGCGCCCGGCCGGGGATCGCATCGTTGCTGCGGCTGCGGTCCAAATTCCGCCTAGGCATCTACACCTCAGCCACGCCCCACACCGTCAGCAAGGCACTAGCGTCCATCAGCACTTGCATTTTCCACGAGATCAAAGGGCGTCCAAATGAGCTCCGAAGCCTGTTGGAAGAAAGTGCCGCATACGCGCGGGCTTGCAACCGGAAAGCGGCGGCGGCGCACACGGCGTGTTCGGGTGATGGCGGCGGCAAGCCACCTGCGGAACGTACTGCAGGCTTGGGACCGTCGGCCTTTGCCTTTGCCGCAGCGGGTGCGTGTCACGGCGGTGTCCACGCGCCAGAAGCAACGAACTTTGATGCTGCGGGAGCAGCGGACGCGGGAACGGGAACGGATAAGGCGACGGAATCGGTGCCTGCTAGAGCTATGGATTCTGGTGCGATGGAAGAACCAGGCAGCGGCACTGGGGTTGCTGGGGTGGGAGGGAGTTCTGCTGCTGCCGGTGTTGGCGGCGTCGCGTCCACCGCCGCCTTTGCAGGCGGCCGTGGCCGCGGCCGCGGCCGCGGCGGCAGCACATCCCGCGAGCACCGCCGCGTCGACGCCCGCGTGCTGTTCAACCGCATCCTGCATAGGGAGCATTGTGCACCAGACTGCACCTGGCACCAACGCCCCGACGGCAAGCAGTGGGACACCGTCAAGCCGC